AAATGATAAGAAGCTGCTGTTGTCTTACTAAAACAATATTTTCAACAAACATTGCCTATCCCAAAGCCAGAGGCATCATATGCTTATACATATATCTACTGGTCAGATTTGGTAAATATTGTCTAATATTTTAAAGAGCCACAGCTCCTTTTGCTTTCATTAAGTTAGTACTAAGTAAGCAATTATGTTGTTAAATAGTGTTGAGAAAAGCTGAGTTTATTAGCTCTTGCTGATAAAAGTAGAAACTTTGCTTAGGATAAACACCTTCCGAAAAGCATAATTCATTTTTACTTGAGGTGAGATTCAAAGTAATATTACTCTCCCTAAGCTTTGGGCCTACAGCAATATTTGAAGATGCAAAATGGAGAGAGGCCTGTGCATCAAATCAGGGAAAACTCCTCAACTGAGGGATCATAGCATTTCCTCACCTGTTTAATTTTGGTGCGTCTAAATGATAGTATTAATTTTGAAAATACTGTGTTATTTGTCCTGCAGAATTGGAAATTTGGTGGCAAGAGGAGAGGCAGCTGCTGTGGCTCTTGAAGTCACTGCAAATAATGCTTCCACTGGAAAATTTCTGGCCTGATGTGGCCAGAGGAGTTTAACAGCCCTGGCCTAAGGGGACTTGAGACTCACCTCCATATATGTGGGTACTGCTTTGGAGTCGCCCAACAGTGAGAATATGTATGTGGATAATTACCACAAAGAAATATATGTGATATTCTTATATATTCTTCTTACCTGCTATGACCAGGTAAGAAGTATACCCTTGTCAGTGAGGTTTAGCATAAATTCAGAAACTAGTTTGAGGTATAATTTATACTGATAACAAACCTGAAATATGCATAGTAAGATCCTTTAACCAAATTTATTTTAAAATGGCTATTAAAACTGTACACACATTACATACAGGGCCAGATTAATCCTTTAGTGGGCCTAGGCAAACAAATTCATGGGACCCTACTTTTTCACTCAATAATTATAATATTGTAAAATAAGCACAACTGGGCTGCATCTTCACTTAGTGCCCTAGACATTTGTCTAGTTTGTCTATGCATTAATCCAGCCCAGGTTACATATGGCTTTGCAGAAAAGCACTTAAACCTATATTTAACTTTTGTCTTATACTGATTTAAGGTAGTCCTTAAGGAAGGATTTTTCATGGAAAGCAGAGGCTGTTGACAATGCTTGTGCTTTGTAACTTTAGATGTGAATCCCTTGGATTAGGGAACTTCACATCTGAAGACCTTTAGTCATGTGACTAAAGGCTATAAGTGTAAGAGTGATGTTGTAGCCAGCATTGGCACCCCCGCCCTCCACCTGGTTTGGAGTGTGTGCTGTAGAGTATAGAAGCCATGAGCGTGTAAGAGTGATGTTGTAGCCATCATAGTCTAGAAATTGTGCAAAGCAGGGATTTCTTAAGGTGATATCTTTTACTGGACCAACTATGTAGTTGGGATGAAGTTAGACAAGCTCAGGTCAAATCTGAAGAAGAATGTCCTGATTTGAAAGCTTGTCTAGTTTCATCTCAACTACATAGTTGGTCCAATAAAAGATATCACCCTAAAAAATCCTTGCCTCTCACAGGATTTATAGAGGAAGGTAAGCAAAGTCTAATGATTATGCTGCTGAATATAATAGGAAATGTGTAAAGATGGTTTCTCTCCACTCTTCATAGACTGAGTTTCAAACCAGTTCAGCTTGCCTAAATTAATGACTCTAACCATTCTTTTTGTTTAAAGGATCCCTCATGTTCCTGTTCATGAGGCATTTTTATATGCTATATTCTATATTTTTATATGATATGCGCAGGTAAAATTTTGCTTCCTGGCAAGAAAGTGATACAGATCTGTAGCATGTGGTATCAAATCTGTGAGAGGTAGAAGGGAAAAAAATAGTTTAGGACAGTTGTTTTACTCAAGTATATGATGTGTCACACTCCAGTTGGCTATCTGTTGTGAGTGGAGGCCAAAGCAGCCAAGGAAGGATTTAAAATTGTAGATTGATTAGGAATGCAACACTCTTAACCCTTTCTCTTGCAGTCAAGGAATCTGACATATGTTTTAATCTATGAAGCCTATGCAACATCTGTTGTGACCTTTAGAGGGGAGATAGATGGCAGAAATGGGCTGGACAGAATGGGGGATCAAGGGAAAGGAAAAATTAATGGGAGCCATAAGAGCATGTCAGCGTATACACAGTTCCAAGTTGCATATGTGTTATTCTTTATAGTGAATAATTGAACAAACATCATACCACATAGTGTATTTTCAAAAAACACTGGTTTCTTTCTAAAACAAACAAATGTCTGCTTTTTAACATTGAGTATGTCTAGCATAAGGGAAGATGAGGACATTAATTATGAAATAAGTATTATCAGTACAAAAATTATTTCTTTACTAGAATGCTCTACTTTAAAAGTACAATTTAATCCATTTCAGACATAAAGGACTTGACATTTCTATTTTAAATATAATTTTCTGATCTGTAATTAACCTAATATAGGCTTATTTTAGATTTAGTCATTTCATCTATACTTGGGCCAAAAATTAAAGCGCTTACTTATTCACTTAATTATATAGATTAGGTTCACTTGGAAAGGGTGTTAATATTTTTGAAAAATATTGTAACATGAAACCTGCTATTAGAGTTTTTGAACTGAGAAGGTGCTAGTGTTAAGAATCTCACTGAGTTTGAATGTCAGTTTATTGACTGATTTAAGTAGCATTCATTATATCTGCTATCTGCAAGTGTGTTGTGAGGTTAAAAAAAACATAATACGAGGAATTGTTTGTGCTGGTAAATCAATACTCCCATTCCGAAGGATTCAAAATTGGCTTAAATATCACAAGATTTTAAAAAAATGAGATTCTTTTAATTTGCCTTTTGATTTTTGAATTTTTGGGGTACCCGTTTTCAAACTTCTCTTAGGTACTGCGATACTAAGAACCTACCCCTTTTCTCAGTTTCCTTCCTTCTTTCTTTGACAGCTCTCATTTTCATGTAATAAGAGGCCTCTGGTAGCCCAGGACTTAATAAGAAAACAGAAGTTTAGAAATTAAATTATACTTCCCCCTGATGAATATTCATAATCTCCAAATAGGAGCAAACTTTAGTAGAAACTGAAAACTTTCCTGGGAAATATATTTATCTGAATAATTTGCTTGGTAAGCTTTTATTTTGTTTAAGGCATTTTGTGATATAGCTGCATGACTAAAGGTTTTCAGATGTGAAGTTCCCTAAATTCTTCTCTTGATATCCTCTTAATGCTCTGGTTTTCATACATAAAAGAGGGGGATCATTTGCAAATCAATGATCTTTCAGTCCTTGTTGAGCCAGTTATGCATATGATCAGATTTTGATATTGGTTGGGGGAAGCTGTTATAGAGATTTCTAGTTTCTTTAGGACAAATCCATATTAAATTGACTCTAATACCTTGACTTGTAGCCAGGAATTAGCGTACTCTTAAAATAATGTGCTACTTGGAGTAATTTTGAGTAACTTTTTTCTTAAATATTTTACAGTGTGATTGATCACAATGACTGTTTTGTTTCTGTTTCTTTTGAAAAACAGCTGTTTAAACGGTCTAGTGAAAACATTTCAAGATATTCAGGAGTGGGGAAGCTATTTGAAATCTTAATAAAAACTGTGTTTGGAATTTTGTGTTTTCAGTTTTTCATGTGTGAACAGTCATGAAAGTGAAGAATTAAAAGAACGGCTCAGAGCTGCAAGTAATGGTGGTAACAAACTTGTTATAGTTTTGATAATACAGTGTAATCTTAACCAGTAGCACCTGTAAATCCAGTCCTAAATTGGTCTGAAGCAGAGATTAGCTGCACACACAATTGTTGTCCAGTGATCTGAATGCCAGAAGTTGACTAAGTGTAGCACTTAAGAGGGGCCCATTCTTGTGCTAACGAAAGTCAGCGGGAATGCTCCCACAGACTTTCATGGGCATTGGGTGAAGACCATACGCAAGTGTTTTGTGCAGATTTCATAACTGCATTTGATGGAATCATGCAGTTATGGCCAGTAAAGGGAGGAAGAACTTGAGTCATCTTTCTTTTCTTTCTGAAATTAACAGGGAAACGCACAGATTTATTTAATGGAATCTGGAGTATTGCTCATTTAAGTAATATTTTGGTTTTCAGGCATATTGCTTGGTATATACAGAAAAAAACACTCTTTCCCCCAAAATAAAATAGTGTCTTATTGCATTGAACATAAGAGGTGCCATACTAGGTCAGAGCAGTGGTCCATCTAGCCTTGTATCCTGTTTCTGACAGTGGCAAAGGTGGATTTTAGAGGGAGAACACTGAACCAGGGGGATATATTCATTACCTTCCCTGGCGTCTAATGTTACTGGTTTAGAGATGGCAGAGGAAACATTTCCAACCATTTTGTTCAACAGCTATTAATAGATCTATCGTCTATGAATTTGTCTAGTGCCTTTTTTTAACCTGGTTTATACTGTCTGCCTCCACCACCACCTGTGACAATGAATTCCATAAGTCAATTATGTGTTGCCTAACGAAGCACTTTCTCTTGTTAGTTTTAAAACGCTCTCCTACTAAGTTCAGTCAGTGCTAACTCATCTAGTATTCTGGGAGCTGGCAAATAAGTGTTCCCTGTTCACTTTGTCCATACCCTTAGTGATTTCATAGACCTCTATCATATTCCTGCTTGGCCTTCTCCTTTCCAGACTAAAGAATCTTAGACTGCTTAGTCTCTCCTGGTATGACAGCTGCTCCATAACCCTGATTTTGGTTGCCTTTCTCTACGTTTTCCAGTTCTGCTACATCTTTTTTGAGATGCAGAGACCAGAACTATACGGTATTCAAGATGTGGGTACACCATGAATTTGTATAATGGCATAATGATGTTCTTCATTTTCCCTTCTTACAGTGCCCAAATTTTATTGGCTTTTTGGTCACTGCTGCACACTGAGCTGATGTTTTTTGGACAACTCTCTACAATGACTCCAAGGTCTCTTCATGAGTTGTAACAGGATTGTGTAGGTATAGTTGAGGTTCTTTTTCTCCAAGTATATTACCTTGCATTTGTTGAGACTGAAGTTCATCTGCCATTTTTTTTGTGCACTTACTTAGCTTGGTGAGATCTTTCTGTAGCTTCTCTCTTGTCAGCTTGGGATTTAACTACCTGGAATAATTTAGTGTCATCTGCAGACTTGGCGATTCTAATATGCACCACCATTTCCAGATCATTGATGAAAATGTTGAATAAAATTGAGTCCAGCACAGATCTCCTTGGGATCCCATTTTTGATCTCCCTCCCTGAGAAGTGACCATTTAGCCCTACACTTTGTTTCCTACCTTTCAGCCAGCTCTCAGTTCACAAAAGAACCTCCTCTCCATTCCTGTGGCAGTGCAGTTTTTAAAAAAGCCTTTGTTGAGGGACATTCCCCAAAGTTCTTCGAAAGCCCAAATATATTATTTTAGCTGCGTACCCCTTGTTCACATGCTTGTTAACACCCTCAAGTAGCTCCAGTGAATTGGTGAGGCAGGATTTTCCTTTACAAAAATTGCTGCTGCTTCCCCAGCAAATCATATTTGTCCATGTGACTGCTGATTTACTTTTTTATGGATTCTACCAACTTGCCAGGGATGCAAGTGAGATTCACTGATCTGTAGTTCTCAGGATCACCTCTTGAATCTTTCTTGTAGATGGGTGTTATGTTGACAAACTGCTAGAGTCTGTTTGAAATTATAGTTTACATGCTATTGCAGGTTTGCAATTTCACCTTTGAGTTCCTTCAGAACTCTCAGGTGAATGCCATCTGGTCACCATAATGTATTAGTATTACATTTATTAATTTGTTCTCATTTCTTCTGGTATCACTTCAGTGTGATCCAACTCTTCAGACCTGTCTACTAGGAAGGATTGATCTGGCATGGGAATTTGCTTAGTATCTTCTGTAGTAAAAACAGATGCAGAGAATTCACTTAACTTCTCTGCTATGACCTTATCATCCTTGAGTGCACCTTTTACACCTTGGTCATGTAATGGTCCCACTGATTCACTGGCTTCATGCTTCTGATGTGTTAAAAAAAGTTTTTATTATTAACTTTAACATCTTTTGCTAGATGATCCTCAAATTCTTTTTCATGAGGAGACTGCAGACCTGATGGCATGGATTTTGGTTTATGTTGCTATCTTTGCTATTGCTGCATTTTTATACTAAAATAAGTTGAAAACTGACAGGCTTGCAAATGTTTTAACTGTGGAAAACTATACCTTTAACGATGCACCACAAGAATTTGGGGACAGGTCCTTTTTTGTCATCTGGCACATGAAAAGCCTGTGCTGATACGTACATTTGAAGGCCTTATTCAGTTCCCGCTATTGCCTATGGAAGGAATTTCATTGACTACTTAAACATTTGCTGAAATTCACTTTGTGTTGGCAAAAGAGCAACACAAGAAGGAAAAGAAAATGCACCAATCTTGCCAGGGGCGGAAGTATTGGCAGCCTTGGGACAATATGTATGGGTGCCTCCACACAACTCAGAAGCATAAATAAAATAAAATAGTAAATGTTTTGCAGGGGCAATAGAAAATGATTTTGTCAGTTCTACCTACTAGCAGTTGTATTGGTTTTCTGACATTTTATTATTTCCATTGTATATGTTGTTTTAGAAACAGGATAAAAAGATGAGTATTAAAGTAATTCATTAAAAAAATGTGGAACTAAACTGGTAATTGTATGAAGACAGACTAGTAGAGAGGCATTTTTTAGCTAATTCTTATTAAAACATTAACAACTAGAACTGTACAGTTAATAAAAGCAGTTAATAAAAGCAGTTAAATCATATTATTTGAAGATGCATGTTACAGTAACTTGTCATATCTTTCACACAAAATTAACTGATGGAAGGTAGTTTAGGAAGAATGTGTTTAATGGATTATCTTGATTATCTTGAGCAATTATTGAACTAATCTACATGCTGGAAAGCCGTATCATGTTTGAGTCCAGTATTTTTTTTTATTTTTGGTTTTCCCTTTTGTAACCTTATAAAGGGTATAAATAAACTCTTGCACATTTTATTTTTGTCCTTATTTGTTTCTTGGTGTTTTATCCATCTTAATGAATATGCTGTTTTCATCTGAAGTTGCTACAAAATGCTCTGTTTGTGGACGTGACTATTTTGATCATTCTTTTCCACCCTCCAGGTGGTAAAGGGACATGGAACCACTTGTCTTGTCTTGGGCTGGAGGGAAACTTATTTTGAAGTAAGGAAAAACATTAAGTCAGGAATTCCTTCCCCCACTGCCCCCTCCTTCCACTTTTCTCTTTTGAGCAAAGCTTGTTGTTGCCTGTAGCTATTGGGAAAATCAGGAAAGTTGCCTCATTGTTCTGTAGACAGGGTTTTAAAGAGCAAAACTGTTAGAATAAGGATTTGAGATTAACGGAGCTCCTGAATTTTCTGTTTTGTTAGTGTGTTCTTCATCTAACTATTTAAACATGAGTCGAGACCTTTTTTGTTCTAGTATAATTTTTGCTAAACTATTTCAGATATGTTTGCAAGAGACTACTTAGGTTGTAGAGAATGATAGCTAGAACTTATTTTGGGGTTTTAAAATTTTTTTTTGCTAGAAAAATTTAGTGAGATGTTTTCCTTTGTCTCTGTAGTTATCAGAGACTGTTACAGACGATTGCTGTACTCGAGGCTCAGCGCACTCAAGCAGTTCAAGACCTTGAAAATTTAGGCAGACACCAGAGAGAAGCACTGAAGAATCCCATTGGATTTGTGGAAAGACTCCAAAAGAAGGTATATAATAGGCATTTCTAAAATGTTATTTAAAATTTTTTTGATAACCAGTAATTCATCACCTGTAAAAGCTAATTTACACAGGCATATCCAGGGTTAAGGCAAGCAAGGTTCTTTGAGTCGATGTGGTATCTTTTATTAGACCAACTGAGTAGTCGAGGGAAAAAAAGTTTTCAGCAAGCTTTCGGGCACAGTCACTCTTCTTCAGGCATAAGGAGTCTCTGCTTTATAGGGTTAAAGTTCTTCAATGAGAGAACATTATCCTCTTCAGGCTTGAGGGTGCTTAAATACTGTCAAATATAAGCATTTTTAAAGATTTTATGGGTATAGTTTTAATTGGAGTGTAGGATACAATTCACTGGAGTGTAGAATTCTTGCTCTTATGCCTCTGATACGCACAGACTTTTTATGATGCCTAGAAATCCTGTGTTGATATGAGAGAGAGGTGTTTTGCTGTGCTAGCCAGAAGTCAAGCAGAAGAAAGGACTGGTTGGTGCCTTAGAAACTAACTGGCTCAGAGAGGCATGAGTTTTGACAGCTGTGAAAACATATGCCTCTCTGAACCAGCTAGATCTATGGTTCACAATCTGGTACACATACCACCAATGGTACTTAGACAACCTGTCAGTAGTACATGTTAACAGATTTATTATAATTATATGACAAAAATGTGCTGGTGGTGCGTACGGTTGAACTGAAATATTTGGTAGTGGTACTTATGGTTGTATCATTTGAAATTGGTGATGCACAATGTGTCAGAGTTTGGGAACCTCTGAAAGGAGATATTCTGTAGGGCATCAAAAAGAAATTGTGGATTTTGTCACCAGAAATGCTGTGATGTGGTTGAGTTCCATTCTATATTCGGTACTTACTAAGTGGAGGCTGGTTAGGGAGAACAGTTCATAAACTTGCAAACAAAATGAGTTCTAGAAGTCTTCCACAAACCAGCACTGCGCCAGGGATTGCTCCAAAGCAGCGTGCAAGTGTAAAGGAGGAGGAAAATGAATTTTGGTGAAGAGGCAGATTTCATTTTCAAGCTTTCTAAAAAAGGGATAAAAGGGAAAGCAGTTTTTTAAGGGTTTTACTCAGTTCCTTGCTGGTGTGTGTGTTTGTGTGTTTGTTTGCAAGTAAAAGCAATGTTTGGCGTTGTAGTATGACAGCAATGAATCCTGCTTCAGTATAGGGTGAGCTGTGTACTTTGAGATGCCTTTTCCTTGGCTTTTAGGGTCTTGGGTCTGAGCAAAGGTCATTAAAATCAATAGCTGCCCTTTCATTGACTTTTGTGGTGTTGAATTGAGCTCTAAGGAAGTTGTGACAAATTCATTTGGTATCCAAGCATTGGGCTCCAACAATCGTGTTGGTCAGACCTAGACTATTAATGCCAGTTGCAGAGCATTCCATGTATTTTCCTCTCTAGAAATAAAAGAAATAATGTCAAATAGTTAATATGTGAATGTATAATTATTGACCCTAGAATAACATGGGCATTGCCAGCAATTGTGTTTTGAGCAGAAAATAGCAAAATCAGTTTAGCAATGGAAGTGCAGCATAAAACACATATTTATTTTTTGGTTTAGTTTGCTTTAGTTTGCCAAAAGGAGCACAAGTCTGGGTACACAGTATGCTTTTTTTGTAGTATTTAACCAATTGATCAGATATGATATGAAAATCAGAACAGGATATGAAAATCAGAAGCACTTGACTGTAACTGTGCAGTGTAATTTTAAACTCCATGTCCAGTAAGCCGTTATTGACTGTGCTGCTGCATATTTTATATGCCCTGCTGTGTATTGCTCTTTGAAAATGTTTTTCCATAGAAAAAGTATGTGCTGTCTGGTACATTTGAAGTCCTGCTGTTTGCTGAAAAGAGATTCAGGGTTTATATAGCCAACTTTACATCCTTTCATTTGTATGTGCAATGAATGCATTAAACAACACTTTTATTCATATCCTTTTAGGTTGATATGGGGCTTCCATATCCTCAAAGGGTTGTTCAGCTACCTGAGATTGCCTGGGACCAATACACCACCAGCCTTGGAAACTTTGAGAGAGAATTCAAAAACCGAAAACGTAATAGTAGGAGAGTGAAGCTGATTTTTGATAAAGGTAAGCAGTTTTAGGGCATTTTGCCATAGCTCCAGGAACATTAGTTCAAGCCTCACGCTTGTGGTAAAAGCTGTGCACCCAGCTGACCAGGCTATAATTGGGTATCTTCAAATCAGGCTGAGAAAAGGCTCTTTGACCTTTATATTTTTTTAAAAGTGTATTTTATAAGAAAAAAACCCTTGTTCTATGTTGATTTAATAATTTCTTTATTGTATTACTTATAGTAGGTTTACCTGCAAGACCAAAAAGTCCTTTGGATCCTAAGAAGGATGGAGAGTCTGTTTCATACTCTGTATTGCCTTTAAGCGATGGTCCAGAAGGTTCAACTAGCAGTCGCCCACAGGTAACTATTACTGTAAAGAAAGACAGAATTTTACAAAACAGCGTTAAATAGTTTGTTGATTAGTACTGGATTACTTGGGCAGTTTTAATTGATTCTTTCTCCATTTTCAAATGTTCAAAAATTTACTTATACAAATCACTCAGCGAAGTCATTTTTAATGTGATCAAGTCACAGACCTTTTAGTCCTCAGTCAAAAGAGCATTTCACATTTGTGGGTTTTGGGGGTTTTTTTTGTTTTTCTTTACTTGGGTGGAAAAAGGGTTAAAGTCAAGTTATCTTAACTTTTTTTCTAAAGACCTATTCCATGTTATATACTGTATTTAAGCAGATGATAAGAGGGCGACTTTGCGATGAGACCAAACCCGAAACTTTTAACCAGCTGTGGACTGTAGAAGAACAGGTAATGGGAAACCCTAGCTAGCTTATAGACTATTTTGTAACTGTATAGTGATGATCACAAAAATAAAATCAAATTGTGTAGTAACATGTAAAACACAATGCTTAGAAATATGTGGACCTACGTATTCCTTCTTGGCACCAATTTGATTTTCTTTTTAGTGACAATGTCAGGTCTCTTCCAGGTAAGATGCATTCATTTTTTTTGATGTTGTCGTGTGTTTGATTTAGAAAAAACTTGAACAGTTACTCTTGAAGTACCCACCAGAGGAAGTAGAATCCCGACGATGGCAGAAGATAGCTGATGAACTGGGAAATCGAACAGCAAAACAGGTAAGCCCTGGAATCTGTGAGATTCTCATCTGCGTATTTCACTCAGTAATGGAGTCTCATATGAGATTTGCCTTCCAAAAAGTCAGGTCAATTCATAAGAAAGGCACAAGGATTTTTTAAAAATATTTTAAAATTAATGTAAGAAGCTGAGCTGTACGGAGAATTAAAACAGGAATTGCAGGAATTTGCCAGGTGTTTTATTAGGAAAAGATTTAGTTGCTCTGGAAAAAGGTTCCTAAAAGGTTCTTTGGTTGGTTTGGTGGCTATGCTGTGAAACTACTGACATCAATAGCTGTATCCTGAGAGTTGACATGGTATGAATATAGGAGCTGTCCACAGCCTACTTGTTAGAATTAGGAAAACAAAGATAAAATTTAAAAAACCTGATAAATTTGTCAGTTCAGCTAATTCATACTTTTAAGAAAAAATGAATCAGCAAGGTCTATACCACTGAAACCTTGTCTACTAGGAGATTCAATCTGAACAGCCGTAGAACCTTTTGTTCTAAGACTTAAATGTGTGCGGGCCGGGAGCGACCCGAGCCCTTTTCGCGCTGCACGCGGGCTGTGGCCAGCAGCCCGGGCACGCCGGGGCAGAGAGGGAAGGCCTTCGAGCTGGAATTAGGCACGGACGCGTAGCGGTAGTTTAAAAGATTGTTTACTTACACCGAGATGGCAGTGGTGCAGGCTGAAAACTTGCTTAAGTTGCGGTTACAGACAGGAAAGAAGAGAGGCGGACAAGAGTTCTAGACTCGTGAACTCTAGCCCAATCCGGCTGAAGGCTCTGAACACACGAGCCCGTCGTGTCAGCCGAAGAAAATACTCGTCCGAAAGAGCTCTGAATAAACTCACACGAAGTTTGCTAGGCTCCGTGGGTCCTTCTGCTCACTCATTCACACGAAGTTTGCTAGGCTCCGTGGGTCCAGTTCTTTTGCGCGCGGGAAGGGATACGTCTGGACTGCGCTCGGCGACGGGGAGAGGCTAGAGGTTGATCAGACCTCCATTGCCTGCTTTAAATGCACTGGGTCCATAAGGATCCGCAGCGCTTAGAGAGCTTCACACAGCGTGAAGTCTCCTCCTCCCTTGTTGAGCGTTTCTGTGCTGCAACAAAGAAATGCACCCTGCAAAGAAAGCTTCAAATTGGCGGGAAATTCTCCCTTGCACCGGGGTTCTCTTTTGCAGCAGAAAACTCCACCGTGCAAGGAAGCTGCAATTTAGCGGGGACAATTTAGCAGTGCCGAAGCACACACAAACAAAAATCACACCCTTTGGGTTGTGACAAAATGTAGAATTTTAATAATGCCTACAAACCATTGTTAACATTGTTTAGGAAGTAGAATGGCACCAGTTCCTGATAGACTTAATTACTTTAAACTCTAGTCTTAAATTACAGGCAATCCTCAGACTTACGATGCAATTGGTTCCTGAAAACTGAGTCTTAGGTCGAAACGTTGCAGTTTGGAACCAATTTTCCCATAGGAACAATGATATAAATGGGGGATTGGTTCATTTACCGTGCTCAACACAGCTGCCTCCAGCTGGTAAGTCTGTTCTGGTGGGGCGTGGGGGCGCAGATCAACTCCCCTGCAGCGAGGGAAGGATTAGGGCTTGTGCTAGGACAGGGGCTGGGGCAAGGGGCTGCTCAGTTGTGGGGAAGGGCGGGGGTCGTGGAGAGGGGGAGTAGCTGCTGTGGGCTGCCGGTCCAGGATCTGCTTGTCTGGTGGCTCTCTCTACTGTGCGCCACCGGTTCAGGAGGGCATGGGGGAAGGAGGGTTATGTGCCCACAAATCAAAGCAGGGAGGGTGGGGCCAAGGCTGAGCCTGGCTGCACTTCAGGCAAGCGGTGGAAGATGCTGGGAGCAGGGGGCATGCCCTCCTGCTGCTCACCCAGCTGGGGCGGAGCGAAGCCACTGCACTGCCTCCAGACAAGCAGCATACAGCAGCTGGAACTGCCCCGGCCTCCTTGCTTCTCCTGGGCGAGCCACAACTTTGTCCTGCCCCGCCCCACCCTGGCTGGGCGAGTGGTAGTGGCAGGGTGTGGCGGGGGTGTGTGCCCCCGGATCAGGGCGGGGCTAGCAGCAGAGCAGGGCTATGGGGGCTGCAGCCACCCTAAAATTCCCTGTAGCCTCTGCTGCCCACCAGAAGCGCAGCCCCGGCATAGCCCGTCCTGCACAGATCCAGGGGCATACATCCCCTCCATGCTCTGCCGCCACTTGCCCAGCCAGGGAAAGACAGGGCTAGAGGGCACAGAGAGGCCAGGACAGCTCCAGCCTCTGCACACCACTTGTCTGGAGGCAGAGAGACAGCTCCACCTTGCCCCAGCTAGGTGAGCAGCAGGTGGGCATAGCCCCCACTCCCAGTGCCTTCTGCCGCCGGCCTGGAGCATAACCCAGCACAGCCCCAGCCCCGTCCACGCTGCACAGATCTGGGGGCATATGCCTTCCCCATGCCCTCCCAGACTGGTGGCATGCAGTAGCAGCAGCCACTCCACCCCCTTCCCATACCCCCCGCCTGCTGAGCAGGCCCAGCCCCAGCCCCAATCCCTCCCTCGCTGCAGGGGCGTTGATCTGCCCTCCCACGCCCCACCACAATAGACTTACTGGCTGGATGCAGCTGTGTCCAGCATTGTAAAGTCGAAACCCTGTCGGAACCTTGAAACACTGTTATAATTTACAAAAGTCGTAAGTGCCGTTTGTTGTAACTCAAACAGCTGTTAAGTCAAGGACTGCCTGTATTGTGAATGTAAAGGTTTAAGTCGAATTCTCGGCAGCAGGAGACGTTATGGAGAGCAATTTCTCCCTCTGCACTGTGGAATGGCAAGCAAACTATTGTTTTCACCAATAGAACTGGTTAGGTCTGTAATTCCTTCTGATAAATCTCAAAATCAGAAACTTAACTTGTATTTGTCGGACCCGAGGGCGGTCTAAGGCTATGGCCAGTAGCCCGGACCGTCAGGTGGGGTTTTTCTACGACGGAGTAGAGTTAGGCACGGAAGCGTATTGGTTGTACAAAGAAAGCTTTATTTACACTGCCGATGGTCACAGTGCAGGAAGGAAACTTGCTTGAGTTACAGTTGAACACAAACAAACACAAGTGAGATCTCTTGCCGAACCGAACCGAGATGAGTCGTCGATGTATGACTCCGCACGCTCAACACGGGGGATACGTCAAATTTTCCACTATGACGGGGAGTGGCTAGAAGCTGATCAGGCCCCTATGTCCTCCTCCAAGACGCACGTGGAGTTTGCTAGGCTCCACAGCGCGCTTAGAGTTCCCCACGAGATGGTTGTGGAGTCCTCCAACTTGGGTGGAAACTGCTCTAACCTTTTATATGGCTAGCGAGCCAATTGCTAGCTGCCACGTAGGAATAATTTAGAATTGACCAATAGTGGGACACTAATTTGCATACGTGTGGTGGGAACTCTTTTGCATCGGGGATTTCTCTCTGCAGCTGAGAAATCCACCGTGCAAAGAAAGCTCCATGTGGCGGGAAAATTTCAATGTGCCGAGGCACTAAAAATCATTGGGTTATGACAGTATTTAACTGAAAAAAAATTATATTTTTTGCAGAAAAGTAACGTCTTTTCGACTTTTGTAAATTTTGTTTTTCATGGAAGTCTATCTTTTAAAAAAAAAAGCTTTAAGCATACTGTAGTTTTTAATGGCTATTGAAATATATATTTTTAGGTTGTTTGGCAGTTGCATTGACCTGAAAGTTGTTATACCCTTTCTTTTTTTCCTAGGTTGCCAGCAGGGTGCAAAAGTATTTCATAAAACTGACTAAAGCTGGCATTCCAGTACCAGGCAGAACTCCAAACTTATATTTGTACTCCAAAAAGGTAAAACTGTGTTTGCATGGGCGTTTAACCTGCTAATAAATATGTTGAAAATATTAAGAATCTTGCTTTAAAGTCTGGCATGTCACCACCTTACTAATTATGTTGCTTGCCTTGAGTTGTATCAATTTCTGATTTCACTGACAAGATAGTTCTTTTTTTGCTTGTAGCATCACAGAGTAAACTGGATTCTGTTTTAGTTTGCACATCAGCAGACTTGTTGATTAAGCTTTTGTTACAGAACCTTTATTAGAGCTGAAGTAGAACACAGCCAGGAGAACACAGCTCTCAGATTGAGTTTGCAGAGCTGGCAATTTTTTACTTGTAAACCAAACAAATTCAATCTGTTGATCACCCAGAAACAACATGCAGAACCCCAACTGTGGCATTTTTAGTCACCTTTACAAAAAGAATAACACTTCAAACAATGCATGGCAGATGATGAACTTTTGCAAAAGTTGGCATACAGTCACCATCAACCAACCCCTGTGGCTCACTGAAAATTACAAGCTGCACACACAAATCAAATTTAAATGTGGCATGTCTCCTTCACTCTTCCCCTTCCTAAAATAAAATCTACGGTTCTCGTTTATGGAATCATGGACAAAAGGATAAGATTAATGAAGTTCCTGAGAATTCCTCATGATAGTGGAGAAAAGAGAGAGCTCTGACGTGAATGTAGATCAGTAATGTGGACTGACAGGGTTTTGTTAGATGCGGTGGTGAGAGCCATAACATTTTGAACTGTCTGAGAAGGGCAGTGCTAGTTTTCTCTTCTTTGTAGGTACTATAAAAAAAAAATCTATAGAATTCTACCACAATCAGTTTTATAGAATAAAAATAATATTACTACTTCCATCCAAGGAAGTATAAATAAAAGTTTATAAATAAAATTTAAAATACATTTTATAATAGTTCAGTGAGATGACCACATTGGTCAAAGAGAGATATTAAATAGTGAGGAACAAAAAGAGTAAGTCACTTGGACGAATTTATACAGGGAATCAGTTGTTGATCTGTTCTTCGCTATTTGTCAAATGTGTATATACTTACATTTTTTTTCTGTATATACTGTAGCACAAAGCAAGTCATTATCATTCATTTATTGACATTTACTGACAAAAATATATATAAACTGATCAACTTGACTATCGGGTAAGCCCTGTTTAGGATTTTTAAGGGAGACTTCACTGTCTTTAGAATTTTCAGAGGTGTTTGTGCAATAGTTTTGTCCACAAATCTGATATCTGTTGAATGTGCTTGTAAATCTTGTAAAGATTTGTGCACATGGCTTCTGTGGGACTTATTCTGCATGAAGGTAATTAGGCACACTTTTTTAGGGTCAATGTGCCACCATCTGACTTCTACATATGACAGTTCAGAAAAGAATGATGCTGCTGCCACTTCTGAAAACTTCATTCTAAAAATCAGCATTTTTAGCCATTTATGTCCCATTAATATATTTACTAGCCTCAGGACAGATAAGGAGGACTTTTTTTCAACCAAGTTTCAACAGAAAATAATCGTGCGACAGCCCCTGGTCCATTTCATCGGCTGCATGAATGTATTATTAAACATTTTGTCAATAGTTTTGTAATTTTAGAAATATTATTTTTTCCTAAGTTGAGAGAGGTCCTTTAATTTTTCTGGCACTCAGCCACCCTGTCAATATAAAAAGCTATATTAGTACGGAGCCCTAACTTATCAAATTGAATTTGATATTAATTCAATTTAATTGAATTTCTGTTATAAATTACAACTTGTACCTTTTACTAAATACCACTGTGACAGTGTGGTGTTCCTAGGGCCACTGTAACTAGCA